TCTCAAATACAGAGCCTGTGTCTTATTACTCCTTCACTCTTAGGCCTAAAACAGAGCCTTGCTCATTGGGAGATTGGATTGTGTAGTGAAACCATCCCAGGCTTGGGTTCAAATCTCAGCTCTATCACTCAACAGCTATTGAAGCCAAGATAAAAGGTCACTCCTTGAGTCCTGATAGTGGTGATATATGCATGGAATATTTATACCCCGCAGCGTTTTGGGAGAGAATGAAGAAAATAAAGTTAGCCAAGTGCTGAACCAATTGTCTGACACAAAGTCAACACAATAAATTTAAATCTTCTCCCTGCCAATCCATTTATCCTCACTCACTCCTGAATAGGGTTTTGATGATCTATTCTCTTTGTGACACCCTTTCTTTGAAAAGTACCATGTCAAATACAACAATTGTGGAGATTTTCTTTTATCTCAGTTTAAGGGTCTGTGAATACCTTGGAGGAATGTTCCCTACTTCATTTAAAAAAAAATACTCCTCAAATCCATAGTTAAAACCAGCAACATGCATGATATCAATTTCTGATATGATCAGAAATTTAAAACATATTTGGAGCCAATACCACCAAATCACATGAATGCTGTCTTTATCACTTTCCCACATTTTCCAGTATTTTCATTTTCCATGAGAGTTCTTCAATCTGTGTGGTGACTCTCAAGGTATCCAGGGGTCTGCAAGGCTGGTATTTATGTCTGAGGGATGATCTCTCTGGTGTTTGGTGGCAAGAAATGTAAATGCCCAGACACACTGAAAAAAGTGACCTACAAATTACACATGCTTGGGCTGAGGCTCACCAATGAGTATTAGGACATGAATTGATACAGAAGGCCCCTTTTGGGAAGCTATACCAGACAGCCTGGACTACTAAATTAGAAAGAAGATATCAAGCCCGTCCCCTGGCAAAGCAGAGAAGGTGACATGCATATAAGACGATGGGACAGATCCAGGCTTGACAATGCAAGCATGTTGGTTTGAATGTCAGCCCCTTGCTGTTAGCTGTGTGACCTTAGGAAAATTTCTCAACCTCTTGAGCCTACTCTTTAAAAACTGAACTAGCATGATCTATCTTACAAATGTGTTGAGAATTAAATGGAACCAAGCACCTAAAGCATGCAAAGTGCCAAAGAGGGTAAATGTGTATTCCAGGAGTCCAGTGAACATTAGCCCCCTTCTAATACCTCAGGGACAGATGGCACTTGGGGCAGACAGTCAAGAAGGTCTCGCTGTTGTACAATTCTCCCATTGAGTGAGTTTTGAAATGGGACAACACCTGAGACTGAGTGGCTGAGGGACAAACAGTTCTGCTTTTTGAGTCTTTAACAGCTGGTGCTATTATTGTTATTCCTTTCCTCTTCCTCTTCCTCCTTCTCTTTTACTTCCTCTTCTTTTCCCTCTCTCTCTCTTCCCCTCCTTCAAATTTGCTTTAATGGTAACGTAGAAACAAATGGCTCATCCATAGTATATCAGTAACGATTGCTCATAAATTGACTTGGAATTCTACCAAACCCTTGGTTCCTCTGCACTGTGGTAGTTCTGTTTGGTAGTTCTTCTATTTTTTTTCCCCACTATTTTTATTGGTGCATTATAGTTGTACATAATGATGGGATTTTTGTTGCATATTTGTACATGCACACAACGTAACAATATAATTTGGCCAATGTCACTCCCCAGCACTTCTCCCCTCTCTCCCTGCCTCCCACTCCTTGGTCTCTTTCTTCTATCGATTTCCCTTTGTTTTGAAGAAACGCACCACCATCTTTCTTTTCCTTACTCATCTACAGCTTCTGTAGATGAGAAAAAACATACAATCCTTGACTTTCTGAGTTTAACTTATTTTGCTTAACATGATGGTCTCTAGTTACATCTATTTTCCTGCAAATGACATAATTTCTTTGTTTATGGCTGAATAAAATTCCATTGTGCATATACGCCATATTTTCTTTATTCATTCATCTATGGTTGAACACCTAGGCTGGTTCCATAGTTTGGCTGTTGTGAATTTTGCTGCTATAAACATGGGTATGCATGTATCACTTGTAGCATGGGGATTTTAATTTTAGGATAAATACTAAAGAGTGGTACAGCTGAGTCGTACGGTGGTTCCATGGCTAGTCTTTATAGTATTTTTTTTTAAAACTCAGGGGCACTCAGCCTCTGAGCCACATCCCTAGCCCTATGTTGCATTTTATTTAAAATGTATTTTATTTATTTAAGGTCTCACTGAGTTGCTTAGTGCTTTGCCATTGCTGAAGCTGGCTTTGAACTCACGATCCCCCTGACTCAGCCTCCTGAACCACTGGAATTACAGGTGTGTGCCACTGAACCCAGCTTCATGCCTAGTCTTTTGAGGAACATCCATACCAATTTCCATAGTGGTTGTCCTATCAACAGTGTGAATGTTCCTTTTTTCCCACATCTTCTCCATCTGCTTGGTCTTTATGAATGAGCTTTCTGGACTTTCTTCAGAGTTTGAAGATCTCTCTGAATATTAAATTCAGTTATGAACTCCAACCTCTTGGCTTCCACAAAACTTGAAACAAGCATATATGGGAAATGTAGGGAACAAATATGATCATCCAAGTCCTGTCAATGACACTGTACCTGAAGGCCACACGTAACTGCAGATGCTTTTACAATGGGAAATTACATCCTGATAAATCCATTGTGGGTTGAAAATGTCTCAAGTTGAAAAGGCACTTAGCACATCTAGCTTCCAGAACATCATAGCTGAATAACACAATGAAGCTGTAGAGAATTCTGTGATCACATAGCTGTCTGGGAGCAGCAATTTGCTGTGGCTGCTGAGTCTCATGAGAGAGTTTTGTACCACATATTTTGAGCCCATGATAATATCACAATTCTAAACTTAAAATACAGTTCCTACTAAAATCATGTTGTTTTCATGCTATCACAAAGTTAAACAATTGTGAACTGAACTATCGTAAATTGGGAGTCATCTGTACTCAAGACAACTTTGGCAGAAGTTAGGGAAAAAATAGGAATTTTTTGTTGTTTCTTTATATCAAATTTACATGAACCAGTCACTTAGGTGATTTAGAAATACAGTTACCAATCACTCTTGTAGTCTGGGGGTGTAGCTCAACGGTAGAGTACATGTTTACCATGCATGAGGCTATGGGTTCAATCACTAGAATGCCCCCCCTCGAAAAAAAATCATTACTGGATTTTTATCTTAAAACAGTACACCTGTATTATAACAAATTCAAACAATATACTCCATTAGATTTCTTAATTTATTTTTTTCTGTTAATGTAAATTATTTTGGGGTAAGCCCAGGATGTTTTCTTTATATGAGATGTCTAGTCAAAATCACATGCTACCCACTACTAAACAATGCAGGCTATGGGTCCCCTACATGTCATGGATGGAGGCAGTGTTATCACATTGGAAACCATGTCCTTGTTCAGAAGTAATCCATTTTAAAGCAGCCAACTCTCTACCCAGGGTCAAAGTAGAGAAGACAGGAATGAGGAATTGTAATCAGATGATATCCAAGGATTGAGGCAGGGTAAAGAACCTCTAGCAAAACGCAAAGGTCTTTCTTGTGTGTATCACTCTTTAGGTCTTGGGGATTAGCTCCCAACGTGTTTCTACAAAGGGAAAATATTAAGAGATTAAAAAAAGAGAGAGAGAGAGAGAGAAAGAGAGAAAGGCTGGGATTAAAGGAGATTTCATTCAGTGTTAAGCCCTAGGAAAACATCACATGTGCAAGTGAATTTGAAAGAATCCAGTAGAGTCTTGGATAACAGGAAATATGGGTGGATAGAAGTGGCTACTGCAGGGGTAGATGGTGACTGATTAAAAGGAAGCAGCCACACACCCACTCATTTCTCTGAAAATTAGCAGCTGTTGGCTGACAGACACCTTTCCTGCACATGTTCCTGCTCAAGTGATAAGAAGTGAGAAGAGCTCTAGGCAGGGTTATTTTGGGTTCCAGGCGATCTGTGTTGCTATGCCATCTGAGATTCGTGGTTGGGTTGAAGCCGGATGTCGTCCAGCAGCTGATCGCAAAACCTCTAAAAGTTCAGTTCACTTCTCCGAAATCATCTGTCTGTGTGGGCTATTCGAGAAGGTGATTGGACTGTTCTGTTTCTTGGGGTTTCCCCACCCCCAGCTTAAGTGTACTAAAGGGATTAGTGGCTTTGGTTCTATAAGCACTTTTTAAAAAGTCACCATGTTATTTAAAATGCCAGTATGAGCTCTCCTAGACTGACTGGAGTTGCCACTAATTCAAGTATTACACTGTATTTTATGGTGATCATTTTGTAATTGCACCAGAATACCATTTCAGGTTCTTACTAATCATTAGGTAATAGACACTTATTGAAGCATGATATTTCAAAGTGAAATGAATTAGTGAAAACTGTCCCCTAAAGGGTATTGGATACTTGTCACCTGAGACTTTACTGTGGCAGTTTGAAAACTAAACTTGCAGCTTGGGGGTGGAGAACAGCAGGGGCTAAGCCACTTGTGAATGGCAATTTTCATTCCACATTTAGGGGTGCCCACTTAATTGCTTCAGCCACTATGTAATCCTGGGAAAGATACCCAAATTTTTCCTGCTTCTGTTTCTTCTTCTATAACATGTAGTTAATAATAAAATGCCTACTCCATAGGTTCCTAACACACAGTATGTGCCTGATTAACATTAGCTTTCAATATTGTTATTATTAAGTATTGTTTTGACTACAGAAAAGGCCTACACATCAGTCTCCAACAAATCATTTGCAAAGATCAACTTTGATAAAGAAGACCAGGGAGCTTGGTGGTTAGACTCCAGAGTCAGGCTTTTATAGTTGTAGGGTGCTTGTAGGAGCCCTGAAGACCAAAGAGCAATAAGAAAGAACATCATCCAAGAATATTTAGAACAAATATTTCAAAAATCGCAATGTTCCCATTTCCTAGATTGGCTTCTGGTGCTGCAATCCATTTATTTATGACACATATTATGAGAATCACAGGATACCTGGAGCTTTGGAGATCATCTACTTCAATCACTGCGAAGTCCAATGCCTGCCTGAGGGAGTATCTGCAGCATCACCTTCTTATTCTGCCACATATTTTGTCTCCTCTCTTGTCCTCCTTTCCCAAATTCATATGACATGGCAGCATATGCAGAGAAATGCCTAGCTCACAAGGAAAAAAAAGGGCAAAGAAATTCATGCTGAGACAATGGTGTGAGATTTTATACCAAGAAAGTGTGTGCTGGTGTTTTGTTTGTTTGTTAAGTTTTCAAAAGTAGGAAAATAAAAGTCCCAAACACCAGCTGAGTAGATATCCTTGGTGCTAGTGGATTTTTGCCAATGTATTCTGAACCCAAAGATATTCACACTAATAGATGACCTTAGCCAATTCTCCCGAGTGCTAGTAAGCTGTGGTAGTCACTGTGAGTTAGCAGGTGAACCTCATCTGGACAGTAACTTGCCCTCAGATGGAAAAGACCAAGTACAATACACTAGAAATTTGTGGATATAAATATAAAAATCTTCTCTTGAAAATAAAAAAGACTTATAGTGATATAAGAGATCTGGCTCCTCCATCATGTTTATATAAAATTTTAAAAATTTTTCAAAGAAAGTAAGGTCAATATATACCAAGTGGGTGTAGTGGTGAGTAAAAAAGCTAATGAGATATTAGGCTACATAAATAAATGGATAGTTGCTAAAAATAAGAATGCCCTGGTTCTTCTGCTTTTTGCACTGGTCAGTGCTTACCAAGATCTTGTAGTCTGCTAAGTGTGCTACCTTCTTCAAAGGGCTCCAGACACACTGGACCACAATCTTAGAAGAGTGACCATATTAGGGCAGGAAGCCAAATGAGGTCATGTAGGGAATAGATGAAGATTCTGGAAGCACTCAGAATAGTGGCAGAGATAACCTTCAAACACTCAAGGATAAAGATGAGCACAAACAGAACCAATCTGAGACACGTTGACAACTAATTGAGAGTTTATTACATGTCAGGCACAAGTTAGGAAGAACATGAATTAATTTACAAGAAAAAAGACTCTGAGAAACTAAGAATTGCCCACAGTTGATAAAGTTGGGGTATAAATGCCAGCAGCCTGACTCTGAAGCCCACGTTCTTAAGTTGTGTGCTATCTTACCAATGCAGCAAAACACAGCTCAACTCAACAGAACAGAACTCTCTAACTGCTTGGGATATCTGAAGGTGAATTGTGCTACCTTCCTCAAAAGGTAGTGCATTTTTTAGTTTCCTCAAGCAGTGAGCTTCCTGTCACTAGAGGAATTTTAGGGGAGACTACATAACCAGTCAGAGTCAAGGCCAGCGTTACTGTCCTCGCTTTCTTTTTCTGGGTGCACAGTTCCACTGCACTGCATTTAGCGGTGGGCAGATGGCTGGGTTTTGGCTAATGAATGTGGGTGAAAGTGGTTCATGGCACATTCGAGCTGCCCTTCTATCCACCCCACCCCACCCCAACACACGCCTTCCCAGTGCATGGGCCTCACCCTCTTACCCCATCTGCTGACTGGAAGGAGACTTAGCTATATCTAAATGAGGGCAGAGCTATAGACAGAAAAAACCTGGGGCCCCTAGTGATACAGCCTAAGGTGAGCTGCTAAACAGAGGTGGGGTAAACAGAAGCGAGAAATGGTCTGCACTGTGGTGAAGCCAATGAAATATGGAGGCTGTTTGTTAAAGCCATTACTCTCTTCCAATACAAACCCATACTATGGAGAAAATGTAGGTACTTGATGAATGGTTGGAATTGTTCCCTATGGAGGTCTTCTCAATTTTGACATTCTTTGATTTTTAAATTAAGAAGTAAAGCAGATTTTGAGACTATCCCAATAAAGAAACTCACAATTCAATGATTAACAAATGCCTGGAGACAAAGAGAGAGAGAGAGAGAGAGAGAGAGAGAGAGAGAGAGAGAGAGAGAGAGAGAGAGAGAGAGAGAGAGAGAGAACATGAAAGAGAGGCTCTAAAAATCAATACAGTGAAGAAACAGTTTCTTCTGCCCCTCAGACTATTTTTTTGAGAGGACCTCTGGGTGATGTAGCTCAGTAGCACAGTGCTTGCCTAGCATTTGTGAGGCCCTGAGTTCAATCCCCAACTCTGAAAGGGAAAAAAAATTCTCTAATTGCATATACAACTCAGCTACAGTTAAGTTAGAAGGAATGTAAATGGCCAAAGCTGAACCTGTCCTCAAATACCTTTAGTCAAAAGCATTTGTCCACGGAACTTATAGCCAGGCTGGCAAATCACAGCCTTGTTTAGCTGTTCAGAAAGTATTCATAAATGAGGGAGGTGTCAATGCACCAGAGCATCGCTGCAGTTCTGAGTGCAAAGAGCTCCACACATCCACCCCTGTCCCAGGCAGGTGTTAGGTGGTGATAGGGAACAGAAACTACCTCAGAATCTGAGCTCTAGGGAGTTAATCAACAACAAAAGCCAGCAGATAACCTAGCAAAAGGAGAATAATTAAGCCTTAGAAGGGACACAGACCAGGGTATCTGGGGTACTTTCTATTCAGGATGCCAACTACTATTGGCATGGACCATCTTCGAAATCTCTGGCTTCCTTTATCATTTAACTCAGCATTATAGTTTCAGGAAGAATGGGTCTGACAGGCCAACTTCTCATTATATTACTTTTCTATTGCTGCTGTTACAAACTACAACTAACTTAATGGCTTAAAACAATCCAAATTTACTTCCTCAGAGTTTCTGTAGGTAGAAGAATTTCATAATGCCTAAATCAAGGTGTCAACAGGTCTGGGTTCTTTACTAGAGAATCTGGGGAATAACTGACTTTCAACTTCATTCAGATTGTTTGCCAAATTCAGTTCCTAGTAGCTGTAAGGCTGAAGACACTCTGGCCTTGCTGGCTGTCAGCCTAGGCCTGGTCATTGCTCCTGGAGTCTGCCCCCATATCCCTTCTCATGTTTTATATGTGACTCCCTCCAGCTTTGGTATGGTGATTCTCTTTCATACTTTGAATCTCTCTGACTTTTCCAGAAGGAAGAGCTACATCTTCTGACTCCAGTTGCAGAATGTTGTCTGCTTTTAAGGGCTTATGTAATTATTGTGCATCCACCAGGAAATTCAATGTTCATCTATCTCATAATCGATAACCATAATTACATCTGCACAGTCTCTTTGGCTATGCAATGTGACATATCCACAGGTTCCAGGGATTAGGGCATCTTTGGAGAACTATTCTGTCTATTGCAGTTATGATTTGACTGCCAGACCCATCAGGCTGGACTTCCCTGAGTCAAGATAGGTCTCCCAAAGGAATTCAAGGTGCTATTACTAAAAGAAGAGTAGATAGCATGCTAGGAAGATTAAAGCAAAAATCTCTTTCTGTCTGTCCTTATATTCCAATTAGAGCTAGCATCCAGAACCAATCTCTGAAACAAGCAGATTCTTGACACAGATGTCTGAGCAGCTAGGCTCAAGACCAGCAAATTAAAAAGTATGAAAAGATGAAAGAGAATAAATGATGGGTTCAATCTTCTTAAGTCACTCCAAGCAGTGAATTTGGAAATTTATTTTTTTTCATTGAATCATCAACCAACCACACATCAACAGTATCATTCAAGGCTCTTTGTTAGGGGCTAGATGCAAAGTCACATAAAACCCCATGCTCTGGATTTGAAGAGTTCATATGGTCTGCAAACTTTGGAGGTCATAAAAATTATGTAGGAACTTGTTAAAAAATGAAGATTCCTAGTCCTGCTTCTAATGGTTGGAATCCACATTGGTAAGAGTTGAGCCCAGACCATCTGAACTCAAAACCTGTTCTCTTAACTTTTCAGAAAGCAAAACATATCAGATGCATTTCCATGAACACCAAAAGAGGCACCTCATGCATCTGGGACTGGATGGGAGATGAATTTTGGAGCCCCTCCAAAATTCATCTTGGAAACTTAATCACCAAGGTGATGGTACTAGGAGGCACATCCTCAAGAATGGATTAGTGCCCCGTAAAAAAGGGCTTTGGGGAATAGGTTCACTTTCTGTTGCTCTTCTGCCATGTGAGGATATAGGTTCCTCTCCTCTGGAGGAAGCAGCATCAGGCACCATATTGGAAGTAGACAGCAGTCCACATCAGACCATTAAATCTATCAGAGCCTTGGTCTTAGCCTTCCCAATCTCCAGAACATAAGAGATAAATTTGTATTCTCTATAAATTACTCATTCTCAGGTATTCTGTTATATTAGCACAAAACAGACTGTATACCTCCAAAAATACTAATTCAGGAGATATAAGGAAAGTTCCACAAATCAACATCTAATGCCATGTCTGTCACATACTAAGTATGAGGCCGTTTGGATGAGTGAATGATTGAATTTAATAAACAAGCCTGCTAATTCCAATGAGACAGTTTTGGGAAAAATTGACCATCAGGGTAAAGACAGAATCATGCAGTTAGTAGAGGATCAATTACATAAGGTACTTTGGCTTTATAATTCAAAATGTTCTCAAAAAAAAAAAAGAAAAACAGTTCTTTATAAAATTGTTACCTGTTTCCTTTTAAAGAAACTCAATTTAGTCTAAAAGTAAGAAGTGTGGAACCAGAAAGGAAATAAGAGGCATATCCAGGAATTTTAAGCAGAATGAGGTCATAGGAAGCTGTTGTTTTCCTGCATCTTTTTTTTTTTTTTTTAAGCAGAAAAATTCCACCAAAGAAACAGACCAGTTGATCTTGCACCTGTGCTTCTATGTCTGGCACTTTCCTGGATCAAACTGGGGAGAGCAGTTCCAGGCTCTGGAAATAGATGACCCACCCAATCTCTGGGACACACAGCACAAACAACCATTCTTATTGACAGCAGTTCTCACCCAGCATCTTTGTGGGAGCAGATTCCATGTCATTTAGGCAGCACAGCAGACTGACAAAATCACACAGGGCTGTCCTTCCCTTTCCACATGCATCATCTCCCAGTCCCAGATGCATGAGGTGCCTCCTTTGGTGTTCATGGAAATGCATCTGATATGTTTTGCTTTCTGAAAAGTTAAGAGAACAGGTTTTGAGTTCAGATGGTCTGGGCTCAACTCTTACCAAGAGTTTCCTAGGCATGGGCCTTAGGACCAATTACATAAGCTTTCTATCCTCAGTTTACTCATATTTAAATTTAAGATGCTAGTAATACCCACCTCTTAAGGCTCCTAGGAGGATTCAATGAGAAAATGCATGCAAAGTACAGTACTCAGAATGCATAAGTGCTATAGGCCCAGTCAGCCATGGCTAGAAGTTATCTGAGATTCTAGTCCTTTCTCGGACCTGTCTACACTCCTGGATAAACCCTGACTTCAGAGTTCATGGGCCAGTCTACAGCCAGAGATCCCAATTTGGTGATGGTTCTGTGTCACTGCTGCCCAGTGTGTGTTCAGAGTGTTCTACCCTGCCCTCCCAATTATACCTCAGCCTGCCTCACCATATCTGTAAATTGTGGCCATTTTTCAAAGAGGAAAGCACTTATTTAGTTGCTTTGATGACCAACATACAGGAAGAAGCACGGTTTTTCAGATTACCTCATAGATTAATTCTTACCCCTTAAATCACATCTCTGAATCTCACACTGTAAATGTTAATCATCTTTGTTTCTTAACAGCCATGTCAGTCTTATCCATGTCAGTCTTATGGGGAAACTGAGGTATAAATGACACCATTCAAAAAGCACTTGCGATTTTTCTTTGCCAAACACTTAGAACTTCTTCTCATGTAACTTTCAAAAGCCCACTGAAATATTTGTATGTATCATTTGCAGATGTGGAAATTAATATTCAAATGGCCCAAGTTCTCACAGTCAGAAAGTGAAGAGATGAGATTGAATTAAAGATCTCCTACTCCACTGCTCATGCTGTTTTGATTAAGTTGGGGGATGAATGTATGAGCGAACATGCTTCCACATGTTTCAGATGCTTATCAAATACACATTTTCTACTAAGATCTGTACTCAGATCACCTGCAGCTGCTGATGACTTGTCCTTTGGCCTTTATCACTCTCCATGGGACTTTGCTTTGGCAAAGTTTTATTGTCATTAAAAAATATTATTCAACTCTAAATGTCAAAATCCTGGAAATAGTGTTCAAAAATATGACTAATGTCACATGCAATGTCTCACAATCATTTCTGAAAGTCTTCATTTCAAACATAAGCAGTGATCAAATTAATTAGGGAAGATTTTTAGAAATCGAAGTATTTCTGCAGAGACATGTTTCAAGTGGCTACTTCTAGATTTACTTTCTGGTAGCTTCTCTAGTTAGAATTTGGTATCTGTGATTGATGTCTATTACCACTCAACTTGGTAACATTTGTGGAATTATAACTGTCTTCACTTTTCTGAATGAACTATGAATGAACTTTCAGATTAAATCCAGTTTATTAATTTTCTTGCTCTTCAGTAAAATTAATAACATTTTTTCATACTGTGCCTTCCACAAATGAATAACTTGGATATGATTGCTCTTTCTTTTCTCCCTTATCCTATCAAAGGAGTTACTAATAAAAATTAGCATGGCTGGGCCAGAATAATGAAGGAAATGTTTGACTATGAAAGTAGAAAAAAATTCAGTATGATTCAAAATACCATATATTTATTGAGTAGTGATTCTATATTCTGTTGGAAATTAAAAAGTGATATATGATCTCTTTCTGGGTCTCAAGCATGTAGAATCTAGCTAAGGGAACTGCATTTACACATAAAATAAAATTTGACAACACTATGAGCTAGAATCTCCATGAGCCAAAGACTTTGGCAAAGACATTAGTAACCTAGGGAGTCAGGAAAGAAGAAATTACTGTGGGCTGGAGATGGCTGGGAACATGAGACAAGGAAAACTGGGTTGTGACTGGTAAAAGAGAGAAATTTAGAGAGAAAAAGAGAGAGAGAAAGAGAAGAAATGAGAAAAAGTTAAGTTGTCAGAAATAACAAGGAAGGAGGGGGACAGATAAGTAGTACTTTTTCGTACAAAAAAAGCAATGTAATCAGAAATGGCCATCCCCAGTTGCCAGGCTGGACACTTGGGCCTTCCCTCATTTTTATGTGCAGAGATTCAAATCTGGAAGACCAGAATAACCTAACAGTAAATAAGTGCTTTTTTTTTATTATTACTAGTACATATTTACATGAATGTTTTTTTTATTTTTTAAGAAAAATCTGTTCCCCACTATAACATATTTGTCAAAACCCTGGTTTCAAAATACTTGCTCTACTTCTTTAAACCAAAGGAAGGAATATTTTCTCCGCCAAAACTCTCTGACCTTACTTTTCACCAGTTTCTCCACCACGTCTGCACTTAAGCTCTATTTAGTACCATGTGCAACTTATTTCTAAATAAATCCCCTAGCAGCCAGGCATGGCAGCCCTTGCCAATGGTTCCAGCTATTCAAAAGACTGAGACAAGAGGACCCATTTAGCCCAGAAATTTGAGGACAATCTAAGCAACATAGCATGACTCTGTCCCACCCCCACCCCCTGCAAATTTTTTTTTTTTTAATTCTACATAATATTCTTACAAAGATATTCAGGTAATTCAATTGCTACTTCCTTATAAACTTAGGCATTTTCAGGGGATTATTCATTGAAATGGCCTCTTGCTGTGCTTCTACTGGGCCCTGATTATTACCACTGTAACAGTCTAAAGTGCATGAAGGCCTCCTACTAAACATTTAATTTCCTTGGTGGTCATTTACAATTTCAAGGTTTTTGTAATAGTACAGAAAGATTTAACTTACTTTCTAGACTCGTCCCAACTTATGATTTCTATTAAGATAAATTTCCTTCGTGTTACATAGAAACTTTTGAAAAAGAGAAAATTAGTGAATCTATTCTGGCCAAAAAATGAGAGCAGCATTCTATCAAATTCTGGAAAGTCACTGCTGAAAATTATTCAGTTAATAACAATGATGACAATTAATTATTAGATGTGTGTGTGTGTGTGTGTGTGTGTGTGTATCAGCCACATAATATGTGAATCATGTAGATTTTAAAATGTAAATGTGAGAAGGTTCTAGAAGGACCTTCCTGGTACAATTGCTGATGATTTAAATGAACTACTACATCCAAAGAACTTGGCACAGAAATCAGTAACTTTTAGTTTTTAGGATTGTTACTATTCTGATATTTGAATTAAAGGTTAATCAGCTAAGAAACATTTATAAGAGTGGACCATTTTAACATGTCCAAACCTCTGGCACTGGATGTTTCTATTGTAGGTCTATTGTACTATTCTCTTTTCTTTTTTTTTTTTAAATTTTTTATTGTGGGTTGTTCAAAACATTACAAATTTCTTGACATATCATATTCCACACTTTGATTCAAGTGGGTTATGAACTCCCACCTTCACCCCATACACACAGATTGCAGAATCACATCAGTTACACATCCATTGATTTACATATTGCCATACTAGTGTCTGTTGTGCTCCGCTGCCTTTCCCATCCTCCACCCTCCCCCCTCCCCACCTCTCCCCTCCCCTCCCCTCCTCTCTCTCTACCCCCTCCACTGTATAACCCTGAGGGTCTCCTTCCATTACCATGCAATTTCCCTTCTCTCTCCCTTTCCCTCCCACCTCTCATCCCTGTTAAATGTTAATCTTCTTCTCATGCTCTTCGTCCCTACTCTGATCTTCGTTACTCTCCTTATATCAAAGAAGACATTTGGCATTTGTTTTTTAGGGATTGGCTAGCTTCACTTAGCATAATCTGCTCTAATGCCATCCATTTCCCTGCACATTCTATGATTTTGTCATTTTTTAATGCAGAGTAATACTCCATTGTGTATAAATGCCACATTTTTTTTATCCATTCGTCTATAGAAGGGCATCTAGGTTGGTTCCACAGTCTTGCTATTGTGAACTGTGCTGCTATGAACATCGATGTAGCAGTGTCCCTGTAGCATGCTCTTTTTAGGTCTTTAGGGAATAGACCAAGAAGGGGAATAGCTGGGTCAAATGGTGGCTCCATTCCCAGCTTTCCAAGAAATCTCCATACTGCTTTCCAAATTGGCTGCACCAATCTGCAGTCCCACCAGCAATGTACAAGTGTACCCTTTTCCCCACATCCTCGCCAGCACTTGTTGTTGTTTGACTTCATAATGGCTGCCAATCTTACTGGAGTGAGATGGTATCTTAGGGTGGTTTTGATTTGCATTTCTCTGACTGCTAGAGATGGTGAGCATTTTTTCATGTACTTGTTGATTGACTGTATGTCCTCCTCTGAGAAGTGTCTGTTCAGGTCCTTGGCCCATTTGTTGATTGGGTTGTTTGTTCTCTTATTGTCTAATTTTTGGAGTTCTTTGTATACTCTGGATATTAGGGCTCTATCTGAAGTGTGAGGAGTAAAGATTTGTTCCCAGGATGTAGGCTCCCTATTTACCTCTCTTATTGTTTCTTTTGCTGAGAAAAAACTTTTTAGTTTGAGTAAGTCCCATTTGTTGATTCTAGTTATTAACTTTTGTGCTATGGGTGTCCTATTGAGGAATTTGGAGCCCGACCCCACCGAATGTAGATCGTAGCCAACTTTTTCTTCTATCAGACGGCGTGTCTCTGATTTGATATCAAGCTCCTTGATCCATTTTGAATTCACTTTTGTGCATGGCGAGAGAAAGGGATTCAGTTTCATTTTGTTGCATATGGATTTCCAGTTTTCCCAGCACCATTTGTTGAAGATGCTATCCTTCCTCCATTGCATGCTTTTAGCCCCTTTATCAAATATAAGATAGTTGTAGTTTTGTGGAATGGTTTCTGTGTCCTCTATTCTGTACCATTGGTCCACCCGCCTGTTTTGGTACCAGTACCATGCTGTTTTTGTTACTATTGCTCTGTAGTATAGTTTGAAGTCTGGTATCGCTATACTGCCTGATTCACACTTCCTGCTTAGCATTGTTTTTGCTATTCTGGGTCTTTTATTTTTCCATATGAATTTCATGATTGCTTTCTCTATTTCTACAAGAAATGCCGTTGGGATTTTGATTGGCATTGCATTACTATTTTCCA